TCGGATCACATTTTCGACCGCTTCCCAGATAACGCCCTATGTTGAAGATTCGATTATAGAGCGGTGTAGGGTATTTAATGATGGGCTTTATCCTACTGTACTGTTTTTACTTGTTCTACTTTTCCCATTGTTTTATAAACTCATAAGCCTGGCTATATTTATTGGTCTTCTATCACTGGCTATTCGCCAAAATTTTTAAAAATAGAAATAAATGTATTTCTATGCTTAAATGATTTATTAAAAATTTTATTCAATATTTTTGTAACCATCGTTGTGTGACGTTTTCTTAAATATGCAGGCGAAAATGTGTTGTTTCAATTGCTAAATATAGAAATCTATTGACATTAGAGTTCTTCTAGAAATGAAATTTGTTATAACATAAATGCTCTTAATGGGATTCTAATAAACACCCGCGGCTCAATCGTACAAGTTTTAGTATTTATAGAAAGCGAAAATGTGGTAATAAATAAAAAGTTTGTTCGCATGTCTGCCAGAAGATTACTTTGAAATTATTATGGTTAAAATTGCTTTGCTCGTGATGGAACGCTTCACCTTGAGTAGGTATAAGAAAATTGTACAGACCATTGATTGATAATTATGGCTGGAAAAATTTCATGCTTTTTCAAACAAAAATTTCAAAAGTTAATCTGCACATTAGACTAAAAGATATTGACCAAAAAATAATGAAAACATGTTTAACAAAAACAAGTAGTTGGTTAAGGTCGACTTTTAGATCACATACACCACTTTGCCTTGTGCAATTATTCACTTGTTTTTGTAATAACGTACAATAATATTCACAAAATTACACATTATGTCCCGCAAAGGCGTACCCTTCCTTAGCCTACAAAACCTACTTTTCATAAATGCCCAAAGCATCATATAGCGTAATCCAAATATAGCCAACATAATTTACCTACGAAATATATTACTATTTTTCTCATTCCATCGTAAAAAAACTAGAAATTAGATTAGAAGCGCCCGCTTTTCACGATAACTCCTATATATGTTAAGGTCTACAAAAAAAAAGTCCTATATGAGCCAAGTTCCCATGCTCCCAATTGCTAGTATGAACAAATTTTTATCATAAAATATTAAGAATAACACTTTTTGCTGAAGGGTTTGCTATTCATGAGAAATCTTGTATGAAGTGTGCTCCATAGACCCCTCTGGTTTAAATTTAGTCTACTCAGGGGCTTTTGTCGAGAAATTGTAAAAATTGAAATTTTTTTCGTAATAACGACTTTTCAAAATAAGGTGTTACTGATCGAAAAAGTGGATCGAGACAAACCATTTTCGACAGAGTTCATTCAAAACAAAAAACTACAAATGGGCAGACACACGGACGGACAAACAAGCTGAGAATCAGCGATTCAGAATCATTTTCTGAATCGATCGATGTAAACAAGATGTGTCTGTCTTAAGCTCTTCTGGGCGTAACACATGTGCGCCGAAACTTGATATACCCTGTACGACCCATCAAAGAACCCACAAAATATATATATATATTCGTGAATAGTTGAAAATTCCACTTGACTTACTTACGTTAATGAAAAACTCGCGTTCATAAATTTTGAACTATGTTTTCATGCATGGTATGGGCATATGAATATGCCTCACGCTTGGCGTGATTGGATCCACAACATTGTGGTAAGTCCGCGGATATAAGAAAAACCTTTAAAAAATATGTAAGCGAAGGTTGGTTAAAAACGGATGCGAGCTTAAACGTTACTTAAAATCTTCTGTGACCCTTCAACAACCAGTAGGCAAAAGATATCGTAATTTGGTTGTGCAAGTATGAGAGCTGCCTAGTTTGTCGAGAATTTGGAGTAGCGTAGTAAAGGTTAGCTTTCGAGAATGATATTTAATTTTACCTTTTTCCAACCAACCAATTATACATAACTCCGAAATTTAACCGAGAATCTAAGCCAAGAGTATGTTAAGGATATTTTCATTTCATAGGCGGACAACAACTGAACTGAACGAGGCCTGGATTTACATAATCAAAAGAAGCAGAACGTTTTTGAAACTTTTTCTCTCATTTTGCATCTTTTTGTTTTTTTTTTTTTTTGCTTATAAACATCTCCTCTTTTTTTGTTTGCGAAACTTTTCTAAAGCATTGTTGATGGGCGCGATTGTCTTGTTATTATATTTTAATGGAGAATGAATAAGTTTCTATTTATATTTAGTTCCCAATGAGCCGACTTTTGGAAAAGCCTAATGTTGCGATGCCCATTAAGACATCGAATGGTCAGTTGACGACAACAGCAATTGCATCTGCCTCTCCTTTAGCCACATCCTCAAATAACTCGACCACCGGTAACATAACAGAAATTAATGAAACCTCAAAACAAGACTATGAACAGCCTGCTCCTGCAAACACAAAAGGTTATGAACATTGAAAACTTTTTTTTTTAGCCGCTACAAACTTAGATGCTGTACTAATAAGTCTGACTGCGGGCGCGGCCGCTGGAGCTTTAGCTAAAACTACTATTGCCCCTTTGGATCGTACGAAAATTAATTTTCAGATTAAGTAAGGGGTTGAAATCATTAACACAAACTCTCCGTTCTCTCTTTAAACGTTATCACCTTAGTTTAAATATAAAATAATTTGTTTAAGTTTCATTAGCACTTTTACATGTTTTTAAAACGTACTAAAGTAACAAAACATTACTCAGCCTTCATTAAAGAAAAGTTTGAATTGAAAATTGAAAACTACTATTGCACCTTTGGATCGTATGGATCTTCAGATTAAATAAGGTGTTAAAATGATTACCACATATATTCTCCATTCTCTCTTTAAACGTTATCACCTTAGTTTAAATATAGAATCACTTGTTTGAGTTTCATTAGCACTTTTACATGTTTTTAAAACGTACTAAAGTAACAAAACGTTACTGGGCCTTCATTACGAATAAGTTTGAACTAAAAATTGAAAAATCGAAAAAAATTAAATATCAATTAAGGCACGGAAAAGCTCTGAGCAAATAATGAAAAAATGCAAGTCAATGGTTTCCGTTTTATACGCACTAAGTACAGTGTGTATGTATGTTCATCTTGCCAAAAACTTTGCAATTGGCTGGAAGCAAGTTGCAGAGACCTTATAATGTATGAAATTGTGAACCAATTTTGTTATATGCGTGTGTGCAATGTTTTGGCGACAATGCTAAGATATTGGCTCCGAATTTGGTAAAAACATTACAACTTCTTGCGAACAATTTGGCTTTTGGCGTTTGGACGAATCGAATCGGAAATCGGTAGTGTAACATAAACTTGAATACTTCTATTTTCAAAAGAGAGAATATTACCCATAAAGTAGAATAGAAACAGCGATATTCATACATATTTTCTGTATTTGTTGAAAAGAAAGGATCGGTCAAGCCCATGCGATATTAGATATAATAAGGTAATTCGTTCGTGAATATAAGAGATTCGGCCTCAGCCGAATGTTATATTCGTACTAAGCTTATTCCTAATTTTGACCGTCATCTAATTTAACCCTACGAAAAGCAAGGATTAAAAATCAAATCCTTATATTAATTGCGTCCCCAAGGACTAGAGCAGAATTCTTTTTAATTCTTTCCTGGTTTTCGTGAATTTGCACACTTTGTACACTTTGAACCTGAAAGATGGAGCGTTTTTAATACTAGAGCACTATTCTAGAGCAGAATTCTTTTTAATTCTTTCTTACTTTTTGTAAATTTGCACACTTTGTACACTTTCAACCTGAGAGACGGAGCAGATTATATTTAAGAAAATAGTGATATTAAGAAAATATACTTTCCTTTCTCCTATAGTAAAAATGTACGATACAGCTTTAGAGCTGCCGTTGAATTTCTTAAATACACTTATACCAAAGAGGGCATCTTAGCGTTATGGCGTGGTAATTCGGCGACCATGGCGCGTATAGTGCCTTATGCTGCCATACAATTTACTGCACACGAACAATGGAGAAAAATACTTCATGTGGATAAAGATGGTACAGAGTAGGTTACTAATATTGGCTAAAAGCTATTTTGCACATTTTTCATAATTCATTCTTATATGTTTTAAATTATGCTTTATAGTACTAAAGTAAAACGTTTCTTAGCCGGCTCATTGGCCGGCATAACCTCCCAATCTTTAACATATCCGTTGGATTTAGCGAGGGCACGTATGGCCGTTACTGATAAATATACCGGATATAAGTAAGTAAATTGTTTAATAGCTTGGAAATTGTGATTCTCAATATTCGTGTTTCGTAATGTTTTAGAACCTTACGACAAGTTTTTGTTAAAATTTGGATAGAAGAAGGACCGCACACTTTATACAGAGGGTATTGGGCTACCGTTCTTGGTGTCATACCATATGCTGGTACATCATTTTTCACTTATGAGACGTTAAAACGCGAGTATACGGGTATGTCCTTAAGTTTTAGAATGTTTGAAAGTGTTCGCAAATTAGGCACCGGGAATTTTGATATAAAAATTGAGTTTGTAAATTGTTTTTGATTTTTTCAATTGTTAATGTATTTACAAGATTTTTTAAATTTATTTGCATTAATCGATACATTCTCGACTATATTAGGTTATAATGTTACTTAAAATTTCAATATTAGACTTTCGGAGACTTTAGTGCCTCCTTATCGTTATTGGATAATCGTTATATTGGAGCATATAAAAATTATGCAGAAACTTGTGTATTCCACGTACAAACATTTACAAGAAATTTAATTCATATTTAAATTTTATATACAGTCAAAGCTCCTTATTCGCGCTTCCTTTATTCGCGGTTTCACTATTCGTGGATGAAAAAAATGCGACCAATTCCCATATTCGCGGCTATAAATTTCTTTATTCACGATTTTTGAGAAGGTAAACAAACAGAATGAAAGGAACCTTACTACTCAATGAGTGAATAAAGTATCGTTGCGAAAATCCCAAATCTAGTTCATTTCAGCTAAGCAATTTCCCCAAATAACAAATTGCCTAAAGAGGGAAAAACTCAATGCGCATTCGCATTCAATTAAATTGATTTTTTTTTATTTTGTCACCTAGGAACGTATCCCCTATAATCCCATACAAATTTCCATTCCGTATTCGCGGCATTTTTTTATGGAACGTATGCCACGCGAATAAAAAACTTTTACTGTACATAAGGAGGCCGACATCAAGGCCGCCTGCTTTAGGTCCGAACTTTGTTTTTACATTAATTTTCATGAGTGACAATAATAAAAAGTATAAGCACTCGCGAGTGGTGTAAGATTTGCAATCCTCCGTTAATTTTTTTTTTTGGTTGGGCTACTGGGACTCTTTTGGCTGGAAAAACGTATCTAGAAGGTGTGTTAAAAAAGAGATGATTTTTCAAATTTGGTGGCCACGCACAGTCGCTTGTCGAATTTTATCATCTTTTTTGTTCACGTTGTCAGCCTTTTTGCATTTTTCGTTTTTTTGATAGATATAAAGGTTAGGCGTTTTGATATGCTTGGCTTGATATTTTTTGCTCTCAAGAAAAACGGATTAAAGGATTTGTTATAAATTTTAAATTTCATTTTTTAAAAAGACCTGCCACAAATAGGTTATTAAATTTAAGGTGGATTTCCTTGAAAGGAGCAAATTAGAATTGATGAATAAATAAAATAAAAAAAAAATCAACCTTCTTTTTGAATATACCTCGTATGTATAACATATTTTCAATATTTTTTTCTTTAGAGCTCAGCCCATCAATTGTCGATTAAAACAGAAACTTATAAGGCAGATATAATTTTCTTATTAAATTTATCGCCGTATTATTACCGATATGATGCGGAATAAGACCGGGAACTTTTACATTTCTAACTCAATCAAATCGATTGCGAGATTTTCGAATACTTTTATTCTCTTATGAAGATTTATATATGAATGGCCTTTTTCTTGCTCTTTCGCTTCAATGCTTTCTTCAATCTTACTTTCAGAAATGACCGGCAACACTAAATTAAATACCTTGGTTTCGTTGGGATTCGGTGCAGCTGCTGGAGCAGTTGGCCAAACATCCAGTTACCCTCTCGATATTGTAAGGAGACGAATGCAAACAATGGGTGTAACCAAAGACGGCCATTCTAAATATCCCACCATTCTTGCCACGCTTACAACAATTTACAAGTATTATAAATTTGGAAATATCCCAAGCATGTTACACATGAAATGCGTTTCTCGTTGAACTTTTCAGGGAGGAAGGCATTAAGAACGGCTTTTATAAAGGCTTAAGTATGAACTGGATCAAGGGCCCGATTGCAGTGGGCATTAGTTTCTCTACTTATGATTTAATCAAAGAGTTTTTACGTGAATTGCTTCACTTAAAGCGCGGTCGAAGCGATTTAACGGATTCGCCAAAATGAGTTTTGTCTGATTTTTTTTTTCGTATTTATAATATAGAAAACTATTGTTTATACTCTTGTTTTTCCCTTCCATTAAAGCCAAACTTATTCTTAGCAGAAATTTAAAAAAAAATTAGAAAATTTTAATTACAAGTTATTTTCTTTTTTAAATTTAGCTATATCGATTAAGAAATAAAAAAGAAGCTTTTTTAACTTTTTTTTTTCTCGCTTTCCTGGCTGAAAAAGAATTACCCACATGTTCGCACAAAGTGACAATAATTCAATAAAACAGAAAATCATATTTTTATATTACTATTTTCAAAATCTTTGTGAGGTCGTCGGTGTACATCATGAAATCGTCAATATTCTCTATTCCTATAACTTGACAAACGTATATTTGTCTATGTTGTTGGTATGGGTTCGTAAAATGTAACATAATATAAGAAGCCTTTAACTCTAATATATAACTTAAATGTCTATTAAAATTTTATTATTGTGATTGATATTAATTATAATAATGTTTTTTAAGAATATATTTTTTAAAGTTAACCCTGAAGAAGAAAGAAAAGAGCTAATTAATGTAAATAAAAGAGAAGAAAATATTGTTAAAATTAATTTTTTCCTTTCGATATCTAATTTAAGACAGTCTACGTCCTTTATTTGCTTGCAATAGTTGCAATAGTTCAATTAAAAATTTGCATGACGTATGTGGATTCTATTAAAAGTTATTTGGAACAAGAATCCCTGCATTCTCTTCAATCGTAAATGTATACATGCTAAAGAGAAGAAATATTGATTTCTTATATCATATTCATTGTATATTCTTGTTAACGTTTTGCTAAACTCGGTTAAAAGTTCTATTAAGCCACGGAGGAAAGAAGAAGGCTCTATATATTCTACAATTGAGTATAATTTATTTATACTCACATTACGACGAAATATGATTTTGCATTGCCTAAGCCAAAAGCAGCTTGCTAGCGGTAGGAAGTTTGTGGTTTCGAAGCGAAATAATCGACGACCCATCATTCGTACATCTTTAACCATGCAGGGCCGCTGATCTGCCAAATATGATTGCATCGATCTGAACAATTGCTGATCAGAAGATATCACTGACCGGGTTTTTAACATTTTGACTTCGTTTTGCCATTTTGTTTTCGCTTTTTAACATTTTATCTTCGCTGTCCACATATTTTAACATCCCTGTTTTGTGCGTTGAAAGAAAATTCGTTATTGAACTCAAAAGCAATTAATTTCGGATTTACAAGAGAAAAATGAGCCACAGATTGCGAATGCTTTAAAGGTTTGGTATTTTAAAATAGCTGCGATGTGAAAAGATTGATCGATTTATTTTCATTTATAGCGTCTCGTTAATTTTAATACTATGGAGGAGATATCAATGCATAATTTACTTACGACTTTTAGAGCCATTCTTGAGCAAGCGTTAAAAGAGTGCTGTGCTGGGAACGGTATATCTGTTCTATGCCAATTCGAAGCTACTAAATTGTTAACTGCTTCTAAAAATATCACGATCAAATTACGAGGCACAGGTAAAGCCCTTCAACTGACTACAATAAAAAATTTTGGAGAGAAATTTTGGGAGTCGTTGCATTGCTTAATTTACTCTATGAATGCTGTGTGCAAGCGCAGTTATTGAGAAAAGCTTTGGACCAACCTTATATGGAGAAGATTTGCATCGGCTGTGACAATTTTTCGAAGCCCCTGTTATGTAATCGTTTGAGCTTTTTGTTTTAGTATTATTAAAAAGACTGAATTATTATTAAAAAGAGCGAGTGTAGTGCGTGGTCAGCGTTGCCCTACAACTATGACTTACACTTGACTATAATGTTTTAACTTGTTTTATTTTGATCTCAGAATATATTTTTTTAATCGAAAAAAATTATAATAATAACTATTATTGACAAACTTTCTCCTTAAAAAGCATATTTGAGCAAAATGTAAGAGAAAATTTGCGAAAAAAAATAGACAGTAGTTCCATCTGCATTTCTCGCATGTTAATCCTAACTGCGTACCATCTTTATATCCAACCAAGGTCGCAAGAAAGAAAGTCAAAGTTTTGCAAGAGTCCGACTTGGGCACACCGTTGCAACACATCGTCTACGATTGTGGACAAAATCTTATGATCAAACATATACTTTCAGAATGCCAGAACGCTTCGTTTCTAGCATTCAAAGACTAGTTTTCGAAGTATCTAACTCTACTTACATCTCGAAAATATCTGGAGAGTAAAATATAAGTAAAATATTTGACTTAGTTAATGCTGGTAAAGTGACCAAAAAAAAAAAAAGAAGAAGAGCCGGTAGTCTTCATTACTAGCGTTCATCCTACTTGTAGTTTAGCGCAATTTATTGCTTTGCTCTAAATAAATCGTAATAATAATAATTAGATTTAAGAAACATGCTGACTTTTTAAAGCCTCTTTCTGAAGACCAGACCTGATATATTGTGGATATATTGTGGATGTCGAAATATAATATTTTATACCGCAGATCGTATAAATACAAATAATCAGCTTAAGCAATAAGTCGGCGCAAAGAACATTTTAATTATATAGAATGGAACTGGAATGGAAAAAAGAAAGAGAAACTGTTTAGTCAGAGAAATATATTAAATTCTTAGTAAGAGAAAGTAATCCGAGTAAAGATTTTTCTTAACTTGTTTATAAATATTGTCTTACAGTAGTTCATAGTCATTCGTCATAGAACAATTGTATTTTCATTTCGTTTCAATCGCTCCGTTCAGTTTACTTCAGTATAGAAAACTTTTATTCTCTTCGTAGTGTTGCGTTATGGATAACATGTTCGTTCTTCCGCCGTATTACTGTGTTAATCGTTTTCATTAATTAATGAGTGTTTGGTAAAATTGCATTTCATTTGATTCACTAAAGCGCTAACAGCAACAGCTACAATAATCATACCGCGCCTAATAATATTACAAAAATATCATAAACAAAATAAAATTCTTGCTAAGTACAAAGCAATTGTGATCAAAATAAAAATTAATTTATTAATTAATTAATTTCCCTTTAAGCAAATAAAAAATATTGCAACCAAGTATCAACTAATTAATAAAAAATATCGAATTGAATTAATCCAACGTATATATCAACCGATATCGGTTTATTTAAATATATAGATTTATATATGTATATATAAATACACATATGTGAACATCTGTGTGTGCTATTGCATATTTATAAATAACGAAAATATTTAATAATCAGCTTTCGTATTTGAGAAATTTATTCGTATCGCTAGATTGGATGAGAGTATAAGTGTAATAGTTAACGTGTAAGTGTTTTATATAAAAAAAAAATAAAAAAAAAAAAATATATATATATATATAATTACATTGCATTACTACAGTGCTAAGCGTTTGCTTGAATGTTAAAAAGTTAAAAATATATAAAAAAAAAGAATTTTTTTTCTTTTTTTTTTGAATGGTTGACATTAACTATAATAGCATTAAAACGTAACGTTCTACAAACTATTTAACATCTTTGATATTTTATACTGAAAGCATCTTTTATCGAAGCTCAGCTCAATAAGTCGACCTAATCGAAACTTGAAAAGTTCATTGCTTTGCGATCCTGTCGGAAATATAGGTCGGTAGGTGGCTTTTTCTTCCTTTATATACATATGTACTTTTCCTTCATTTACACCAAATGGAGTCGAACAGAGACTGGTGCGGCTTGGCTTCGTTCATCACGAATAGGTCATGGCTCGATAACTCTGTCGGCTTAAAATGCCAGTCAACAGCAATATCGTAGTCAGTTTCGGCTTAGTAATATCTCATCATATTACTAAGGGAGCTATTGTGTCCAAGAGAGATAGATGCCTTGAGGATGACTGTACGATGAAAATTATTCTCAATAATTATTCTCACGAATAATTATTCCATGAAACGTTGAGGTTTCGTCACGTATTGTGACCATTGATGCGTTAGTCTTTCTCATCCGATTTATTCGCCCGTAAGTTGAGATCTATTAGTACACTAGGCAAAAAAGTGGGCGCCTTGAGATTAGCTGGACAAATACTGTTAAGCATTCCATCAATATTTTCTTTCTGTTCCTGCACTTTATTTGGCCCAGAAATGTTATGAAATTCATAACGCGCTTCTAGTACTTCCTTCTATGGCATTTGGTTTTACTTAACTGTCGTTTTTAAGTTCAGATTAAGTGCGCAGGCGTACTGAACATAGTTGAAAAAATACAGAGCAATATTTGTGGTTTTTAATGTATTTCTTTTAATTCTAAACTATTTGGTCTTTAGTATTAAAACCAAAGATTCGCAAAGTAGATCACATATTCCTTTGTTCAGAGATATTCGCGTTGTTTCAGATGAAATATAAATTGTAGCGTCATACAATTGACCGCAAGCAATATTTACAATTTCTATTCTATATGTATAGATAAATATAAACAACTATATGCATTTACATATAAAAGCAACTATTTATAATTATTTAAATAGTAAATGTTACTATGCTTTTGCTTTCTTCGGTAGCTAATGTCAGAGGTTTAGTAACGTCATCATCGCGCATGTAATGCTCATGAACGCACTTTAAACTCCGTAGATACTGATCTACTGCCTTAAAAAAAAGTATTCTTGGAAAATATTTTGTTTCAGAAAGTATCATGAGATGATTTAGAGTAAAAGTTTACATCTCTACCCCTTTACTTAGATTTACTGTATTCCGTAGTTTCAATTAACTATTATTAGTGCGGACGTACATGTCTCGAAAAATTATAAATTATAATTCATTTTATTTATAGAATATTTCATTTACGGGTTACTTTCGATAGGCGTTACATTCATGAAAACAATTATTTCGCGGGCTGCTTGACAAGTTATCCCGATGTCTGAGTGTCATTGAGTTTTTTTCAATTTTAAAACAGTTGTCCGATAGCAGCTACTGTTCTTGTTATTATGGGACTCACAAAATA